ACCAGGGGTCCGGGATGGACAGAGGGGAGCTCGGGGAGCCCCCAGAGCCCAGCCGCGGATAGGCCCAGGCTGGCTCTGGGCAGACATGGTGGCCACATGATTGTGAGGAGGGGACCTGAGCCGCCAGTCTGCATTTACATCCCGGTTCTGCCACCCTGACTCCTCCCACCTTGCCATAGCACAGGAGGCTCTGGGGGTCTGGACCCCGGGCTGTGGGCAGCTACCCCACTGTGTGTGCCCTGTTGTGCACAGGTGCCCAGCAGGGGGCAGCACTCCAGGCTCCAGGCTGTGGCAGTTCTGCACCACTCAGCATCCTGCTCAGGAGTAGACAGTGAGGGATTCCTGCTTGACTTCTCGCCTTGGTCAGTTGAGCTCCTTCCAGAAATAGGCTGCAGGCTCCCTTGGGGCAGAGGCTGTCAGCAGAGGCCGCCAGCTCGCCCTGGGGAGAGCAGCCTCTTGGGGCCACCGCAAACACTACTCACTGTCACCCCGCGTCCCTTTTCTGCATGGTGCTCTGAAGCACTTACGAGGATCTTCCAATACCAAATTCCTAGCACCATGTTGAGACAGTGTGCCGTGACCCGTAGCAGTTTTTCCAGCACAGTCCCAGCCAGATGGTTGTCAGGGGGCCAGACGAGTCATTGTCCACAGGGTCGGGAGTTAGCGACTGAGGCATTGCTGGAAATGGAGCATGCTAGTTTGCCACTGACCTAGAAGTGGTTGTTTTACAGCCGGGCTTGGCTGCTGGTTTGATTTGACTCGCGTCCTACCTTTTCAGTACCAAGGGTTAGTGAGGGGACAATGGAAAAAGGCCAGCAAGTAGTATGGAGGTCAAGGCGCTGGATCCCACATGGCCTACTTCACCGACTTCTCGTTGGAGTCCTGGATCTGGTGGCTTGAAAATCAAGCCAGGCACTTGTGCATGCGTGCCTAAAATCCTGAGAGGAGAATGGAGAAGCGACTGTGGTGTAGCCTTCTCTCCCTGGGGAGGGAGTGATTTCTCACTTTTCCTCTCTCTCTGCCTCTGTCTGGTAACAACACATGCTCTATAAAAGAAACGTAAGAAGAAAAAAAAAACTAAAAAAACAAGTTGTTGAAGAAAAAAAATAGTAGTAAATTTTCTTTATAAGATCAGGCTCATCAGGTAGGCAGTGGCACAGCAATGGTGCAACTGGACCACTTAGAGGTCCTGGGTTCATATCCTGGGACCTTCCTGAGCGTGCTGGGCACGTGTTTGTAGGTCACGCTCCAGGCCGGCTCACACCAGGGTGGGGCGTGGGGCGTGGGGCGTGGAGGCTGTTGGGTTCTCTCTCTTTCTCCCCCTGAAGAAGTAGATAAGCTTTAGAGGGAAAAAAACGAACAGATCTTTGGTGCCTAAATTATACCAAAATGGTGTCAGAGCCCCTGGTGACTGTGAAGGAGACTCTTGGAACACTTGGCGAATGAAGTGGGAGGGTAAAAGGGAGAAAATGGCCCTGAGGAACCCAGAACGTGGCTCCCTCCCACCCTCTAATCGGAAGGGACTGCCACTCAAGGTTCTCTCACTCTCCCTGGAACAGAGACATTTAAATGAATAGGAAAGCGAAGACTCCGATGCGATTCAAAGCGATGCCGTGAAGGCACTTTCTAGGCTTAGTCACGTAAGCCATGAGAACCCACAGCAAACGGGATAGGAAAAGCTGCTTCGGGCGTGACCACGCACGGCTAAACCTGGCCTCTGTCTTGTTGGGATCATGGCTGTTAATGCTTGGTTTTATTTTTATTTTTTATTGTGATTTCTAGATTATTTGTAATTGCCATGCATCTTTTGGGAGTGAGGTACAGTGTGGCATTTCTTTGGTTTTTGAATTTGCCAGAGGGCACATATGCTCCTGGAGAGAGAGAGAAAGCTAGAGAGGGTGAAAAGTCACCCTCCATGGGATGCGGTCATGCTGCGATCCCTCCTTCTCCATCAATCCCTCCTAACAGAATTTGGGGTGCACACACACATGCCTCCAGCATGTTTTTTAAGCCACCTGGTCCAGGACTCAAACCACAGGGTTGGCTAATGGGATCCAGCCTCCTTAACCACAAGACCATAGTTGGCCCTCATGGATTTTCGAAGCATGCATACGGAGTGTAATAATCTAATCAAGGAGATAGACTTGTTCTTCTCATTCTGCAGATCCTTGGTTTTAAAGCATCCTGTCCTGGAAGGGGCCAGGCAGGAAATTCTCGCTGCTCCGCGGGCCAAGGGGTCTCTGTGACATCCATTCGATTCTGCCTTTGTGGTTCGAAACAACTACAGACAATACGTTTAAAAAGTGGATGGAACTATTCGAGCGCGATTTTATTTATGGACACCGAGTCTGGATTTGATGTCATTTTCATGGGCCCCAAAATAGTCTTACATTTTTTTCCTGTCATTTAAAAATGTAAAAACCATTCTTAGTTTGTGAGCTGTACCGTGACAGGCCATGAGCCGGGCTTGGCCCCAGAGTCATACTTCCCTGGCCCCGGCCTTAGAGTGTGCTTGTCAGAGTCAGGGCGGAGAGAGGGCTGCACGGCTGAGGCTGTCTCCGAAGGGCACAGAACTGCTTCAGGGACTGGGAGAAGCCCCAGAAAGGCAAAAGCAGCCTCTGGAGCCTCTGTAGGACTGGGGGTGCTTTTGGTGGCGAGTTCAAATATTGGTCTCTTTCCTCTCACCCCATCCCACTGACTTCCCCAATACCTAGCAAGAGTCTACGTGAAGCCTGTTACTCTCAACTATTATATCGCATGCCCTGGTTCCGGAAAGCCATTGATCCGGCTCTGCCATTTGCCTATGTATGTATATATTCATATACATATATATTTTTTCAAAGAAATTTTTGCTATAGGGCATGTGCGCTCACCAGAGAGACAGAGAAAGGCCGAGAAATCACTCCCTGGGGGAGATGGCCACGTCACAATCCTTTCTCCTTCATCCTCCTTTCGGGACTTTGGGCACACACGCACACATGCCTGGCATGATTATTAAGTCACTGGATCCAGGACTTGAACCATGATCAACTACATAGGAGTCCAACAACGTAACCATAATGCCATCTGCTGGTCCTCATACAGACATATATTTTAAAATTCATGATAGATAGCATGTGTGCATGCATGAGAGACAGAGAGAGAAGCAGCACCCTTGACAGAGTCTTGCCATGCCGCAATCCCCACACTTCCCTTTCCCCAGCCCCCAGGCCCATCAGGATCTTGGGCACACATGCACAGCCTGGTATGCTTTGGGGGCAACCTGGGGATCTGCACCTGGTCAGCCAGCTGGCTTCCGACCCTGCAGTTTGGTTCTCTGTAGACCATGTCACTAGGTTGAGCCTCCTTGCCATATATTAATATTTAACCCTGAAAACTAGGTATAAGACTTCAAGTTCTACAAAGCAAGTTCCTGCCTCTGTCTGCCAAGACCTCCAGGTTGACTTGAAAAGTTCATTCACTTAAGGAAGGAGACTGTATTAGATTCTGGTCTCCCCAGATCTCAGCCTCTTGGCTGGCTTTAGATGTGATTCTGAGGAGCTTTTCCAAGTCAGCTTTTTTCCTGAGTGTAAAATGAACTGACTTGAAGGTCTCTCACAAAAAAATTCCTCCCACATTCTCTCCTCTTCCTGGAAGCTCTTGAGTCAGCCAGAGAACAATGTGGAAGTACCGGGGCAGCTGGCCCTCCTGAGAGTGTGCGGAGTTGCCGTGCTTGAACTGCAGCAGGCAGTAGGATTCCCTGGAACAGGCTGACTCTAACAGGGGGCTGGGCACCCCGGGAGCCTCTGGCTCAGCAGATCTGGGTAGAGCTCGAGGGTTCACTCTGACAGGCTCCAGGTGGTGCAGAGGCCGCCGGTCCCCGCACCACACTGGCAGGGTCACCGCTCTACACTGCTCTGAACAGGAGGATGGGGGGTGCTCATTGTCATGGCCTTTGCTTCATCCAGAGGTTGTTACTGTGACCTGAGAATTAGTGCAGGGGCCAGA